AAAAGGAATTTTATGCGAAGCACTACAATCCCATAAAAATGTATTTGTTTACATTATGGCAGAGATGATGATTACAGCTGCCAAAATCGAAGTTGCATATGCGCTTTATTGCCGTCATTTCACACCCTATATCTGGGCTTGACATTATTGATAAGTGGTTTTCGCGTGACAGGAAAGCATTCCCTCTCTCACGCTGTTGTTTTGCCAGGATCAAAGAGGAATGCAGTAGTAGACCAGCCACGACACTGGTGTACGGCTGCCAAACACATGGTGCATACCGCGCCTACACGGACGAGATGTCAAAAAGAGTGTTGCACATCTCCTTCACTGTGTTAGCGGGAACGATACCAATCTTCATTATCTTTTCTGAAATGACGGTACGTTTCCATCTTTATTTGCTCAGGGTCATATGGTCCTAACAATAGATCTGATGTTACCCAACTGATGCAGCACAACGTTGCTTCACTTTTTGTTGGGTGGTAAAACAGCCAAATGCTTGCTTTCCATTCTCTACTTTAAAGAGTGGAATAAGGCCACTGAATTAGTGCATGAAAGGGCAACATATGACGACAGACGGATATCAAAAAGGCCACAGAGATAAGCAGACAAATAGATGTGGCAAAATGTGAACATGGATGAAAAGAATTTGCAAAGTTTACCTTATCTAAATACGCTTAATGAGAGGTACTGAGAGGACATTTAAGAGGTTCACTTGTAAAAATGTTTCCGCATTAGCATAATTTTGACCAGGGTTAAGGCTTTGTGTAAATAACTGAGCTAGGTTGATAGTACACATATCTTCCTTTAGGATCCTATTCTATTCAGGCCTCTGGACTCACACGCAGTTGTCTTTACTTGAAATACAAATAAAGGTACCTATTTTACACCTCAAAATGAGATGAATTCTACCAAGACAGGAATAGTTTTGATATGGATAAATGACTGTGACCTCAGGTAGAATGAAAGTGAGTAAATGGGAAATGAATGAAGTAGATAAGGGGAAGACGCAGTGGTGTATGAAGGACAATGAAGAGAATAGAACGGATAGTTGGGTAGCATAACTGAAGGAGTAAACGAGGCAGAAAGTCCAGTGATGGAGATTAAGAAATTGCTTTGATTTAAAAGAACCTCATTGTCCTTGTACTAGGTGACTTCACTTTGCTACTAGCATTTTAATCTAACAAACTACAACAGCCTATTTAATTTCGTCTTGCGTTTTAGGTGGCGAATTTCGTATACTTTGGTCTCTGCACGCCGTTCGTGGGATGCATTTGTCTCAGCATTCTCTGGGCGCGTCTCTCAAGAGCCGCACTTCTAATTGGCTACTTTGTTAGTGCAGGGGCATCACTCATCCTCTGGCTTGTGCTCGACAACGCTACTTCACTAGGTACGTTGCAGACACTTTAGCTGATAGCTACTAACTGCCTATGTTTCGTTT